TTCTTCTTTCTTCTTCAGTCCTCTGATCTGCTTCATGATCTCAGCAGGTATGTTTTCAGAACTTCTTCATCTTCTTCTTTTCTTTTTCTTTCTTCTTCAGTCCTCTACTTCACGATCTCAGCAGGTATGTTTTCAACGCTTTCTCTTCTTCTTCTCTCTTTCTCTCTCATGGCTTGGCCTTGTGGTTGATTCATTATGTCCTTCTATTATCATACCCTGAATTTAAGGAACATCCTTTTATTATCATAGTAAACAAAAGAACATCCTTTAATTATCTTTAAAATGATATGATTCATCCTTTTGTTAGTGTTGGTCAATAAACTAACAACTTTAAACCATGAATTTCATGTTTTGTTCTTTTCATCCTTCTATAAGCTGATATTTGGTAATTTTTAGTTATATTAGTTGGATTTACTGTGCATAGGGTAGCAGTGTTCTTTATGTGTCACTTTTTTAGTTAATCAAAGTCAATCTAACTTATCTTTGAAACTCAATTAGATTAGATCAATAATAAACCCAACAAAGGTTGGGGTCGATTCCACAAGGAGTACGCGCGTGTCAAGATGTCAAGAGTGTGAGAATTTGTAACTTTCCTATTTATGTAACTCTAAAAAATCTGGATAAAGATGCCCTTCCACTGCCAATTTCGTGGAGCAAAATTGTGGAGACATTCCAATTTCCGTGTCCCCATTTTCATTTCGTTTTAGAGTTATGTTTTAACTTTAAAACATAAATTGATACTCTTATTGAATCTACTAAGAATAATAGACTAAAGTTCATACTTCAAATTCCCTCATTTTTCATGGAAATGAAGGAGAAACTGTACATCTTTCAAATAATAGTTCTGCATTTATCCGATTAATAATCATATAGAGCTGAGAAATAATTTACTTGAAATATTTTTTGTTTTCATCTACTATGGAACCACTCGTGCTGCTACGATGAAGTTGATGATAAAGAACTCCTTCCTAATCTGTCCACTTTAATTAGAATTACCTATCAATCAGCTAAAAGAGAGGGATGAGAGCGAACATCATAGGTGATTGTAGGCTAAGCAGTTATTTCTTGATAGAAACTAACATAAGGATGAATCTTGCCATTTTTTGAATAATTGAGGGATATTTTCTGTTCATTATAATAACATAAGGATGTACTTTAAGTTTAGGGTATAATTGAAGGATGTTTTTGGCAACAAACTCGATTTATTCATGTGATTGTTACTGATTAGCTTGATAATTATAGATCTGATTGTGTTTGGAATTCTTTTTGGTGCGCGTAGGTACTTTTTGTTTATACTTTCTCTTTTTATGATTTGGGGAAAGTGATGTGTTTTGGAAATTTGAGCAGTGTCCTGTTAATGATGTACTATATTTTCCTGTTAAGTTCAGGGTATAATCGAAGGATGTTTTTGGCAGCAAACTCGATTTATTCATGTGATTGTTACTGATTAGCTTGATAATTATAGATCTGATTGTGTTTGGAATTCTTTTTGGTGCGCGTAGGTACTTTTTGTTTATACTTTCTCTTTTTATGATTTGGGGAAAGTGATGTGTTTTGGAAATTTGAGCAGTGTCCTGTTAATGATGTACTATATTTTCCTGTTAAGTTCAGGGTATAATCGAAGGATGTTTTTGGCAGCAAACTCGATTTATTCATGTGATTGTTACTGGTCAGCTTGATAATTATAGATCTGATTGTGTTTGGAATTCTATTTGGGGTGCGTAGGTACATACTGTTTATGCGTTCTCTTTTTATGATTTGGGGAAAGTGATGTGTTCTGGAAATCTGAGCAGTGCACTGGTGTCCTGTTAATGATGTACTGCATTTTCCTGTTAAGTTTAGGGTATAATCGAAGGATGTTTTTGGCAGCAAACTCGATTTATTCATGTGATTGTTACTGGTCAGCTTGATAATTATAGATCTGATTGTGTTTGGAATTCTTTTTATGGTGCGTAGGTACATCCTGTTTATACTTTCTCTTTTTATGATTTGGGGAAGTGATGTGTTCTGGACATTTGAGCACTGCACTAGTGTCCTAATAATGATGTACTACATTTTCCTGTTAAGTTTAGGGTATGATTGAAGGATGTTTTTTGCAACAAACTCGGTTTATTCGTGTGATTGTTACTGATCAGCTTGATAATTATAGATCTGATTGGTGAAGTTATGAAATTTAGAACTTCTTGATTGCGTTTGGAATTCTTTTTGGGGTGCGTAGGTACATTTTGTTAGTACGTTCTCTTTTTGTGATTGGGTAAAGTGATGTGTTCTGGAAATTTGAGCAGTGCACTGGTGTCCTATTAATGATGTACTACATTTACCTGTTAAGTTTATAGTATAATTGATGGATGTTTTAGGCAACAAACTTGGTTTATTCGTGTGATTTTTACTGATCAGCTTGATAATTATAGATCTGATTGTGTTTGGAATTCTATTTGGGGTGCGTAGGTACATACTGTTTATGCGTTCTCTTTTTATGATTTGGGGAAAGTGATGTCTTCTGGAAATTTGAGCAGTGCACTGGTGTCCTGTTAATGATGTACTACATTTTCCTGTTAAGTTTAGGGTATAATCGAAGGGTGTTTTTGGCAACAAACTCGATTTATTCATGTGATTGTTACTGATTAGCTTGATAATTATAGATCTGATTGTGTTTGGAATTCTTTTTGGTGCGCGTAGGTACTTTTTGTTTATACTTTCTCTTTTTATGATTTGGGGAAAGTGATGTCTTCTGGAAATTTGAGCAGTGCACTGGTGTCCTGTTAATGATGTACTACATTTTCCTGTTAAGTTTAGGGTATAATCGAAGGGTGTTTTTGGCAACAAACTCGATTTATTCATGTGATTGTTACTGATTAGCTTGATAATTATAGATCTGATTGTGTTTGAAATTCTTTTTGGGGTGCGTAGGTACATTTTGTTTATACTTTCTCTTTTTATGATTTGGGGAAAGTGATGTGTTCTGAAAATTTGAGCAGTGCACTGGTGTCCTGTTAATGATGTACTACATTTTCCTGTTAAGTTTAGGGTATAATCGAAGGGTGTTTTTGGCAACAAACTCGATTTATTCATGTGATTGTTACTGATTAGCTTGATAATTATAGATCTGATTGTGTTTGGAATTCTTTTTGGTGCGCGTAGGTACTTTTTGTTTATACTTTCTCTTTTTATGATTTGGGGAAAGTGATGTGTTCTGGAAATTTGAGCAGTGTCCTGTTAATGATGTACTATATTTTCCTGTGAAATTTAGGGTATAATCGAAGGATGTTTTTGGCAGCAAACTCGATTTATTCATGTGATTGTTACTGGTCAGCTTGATAATTATAGATCTGATTGTGTTTGGAATTCTTTTTGGGGTGCGTAGGTACATACTGTTTATGCGTTCTCTTTTTATGATTTGGGGAAAGTGATGTGTTTTGGAAATTTGAGCAGTGTCCTGTTAATGATGTACTATATTTTCCTGTTAAGTTCAGGGTATAATCGAAGGATGTTTTTGACAACAAACTCGGTTTATTAATGTGATTGTTACTGATCAGCTTGATAATTATAGATCTGATTGTGTTTGGAATTCTTTTTGGGGTGCGTAGGTACATTCTATTTATATGATCTCTTTTTATGATTTGGGCAAAGTGATGTGTTCTGAAAATTTAAGCAGTGCACTGGTGTCCTGTTAATGATGTACTACATTTTCCTTGGTGCGAACTAACCGTTGCTCAAAATAAAATGGGAGTCCTCTTGTGGTTTTTAATTTAACTTTTCTTGTCATTTCGTTCTTGAATGTTCCTAGCTGTTCTTGTTACTGTGAACTGGCATGTAGTCATTTAGTTTGTAATCTATTTGATCTAGTCTATAACGAGGACACTATGATGTTAATCTCGGAGGGAGAGTAGGTCTGTGGGTGGGTTGGTTGTGGATTCAACCTTTGACCAGTTGTGAATTCAGTTGCATCAATGAATATAGTTCTAAGCAAGAGATTTTTTTTTAAAAAAAAGTTCTAAGCAAGAGTGATTGGTAGCTGTTGTGGTTTGGTTTTTTTTATCCTTCTATTTGTAATTCGTTCCTATTGGTTTTGGTATTATGGTAATGCATTTGTGATATGATATATTTTTAGTGAATTAGGATTTTGGGTAGGATCGTTCAATTTCCCTATGCCTTCATGTTCATGAGAAATAAAGGCAGTTCTGGTATTTGGCTTTTGCTGATGCTCTGCATTTATGGTGATTAAATGGCTAGGGAGTTTTGTCATGTTATCTTGTTCAGTTGCTGTGGAAATGCTATTATGTTTTAGAATTTTTTCATCTTTTTGCGCATAGTTCATCACTTTCAGGGAAGTGGCTTTTACGTTTATAGTGTCCATTCCACATTTTCTTTGAATTCTGGCTAGGTTTGATATGCTCCATTTTGAATGCGTATGATGACATACAGTTCCTTACGGGATACGGGTTCTTATCCTCCTTTATTCCATGATTTTTTTCTACGTGAAAAAGGTATTAGATTTTGGTTTGCACACAGCTTGCTTAGGTCTTCTATTTACAGATTAGCAATCTATGTGCTTTGACATCTTTTTTAGGTTCATGTTCTTTTTTGTGTTTGTCATCAGTTTTCCAAGTAGTTGCTTTATATATAGAGTTGATGTCCGGAGCTGCTTTCTTCATTTGGTTCCAGGTGTAATGTGATACCATCTTTCCTAGTTGATCTATATTGATGTTGCTTTCCTTTGTTCTGTGTTTGTCTATTATTTTTCAGGTTTCTATCTTGGGCCGTGTGGCGGTATTGTCTTGGTTGTTATGTTGTTAGAATTGGACTTTGATGAAATAGATGCTAGTATTTGCACAGGGTACAAGTTCTTGGAATTTTCCATTACATGGAGAAAATCAGTTTTGCATGTTTCTTTATTGCTTTCATTACTTGTTGTCCGAGTGTGTATGTCCTTGATTTTGTTAGTAGGAAATTATTTCCTTTGATCTGAGAGTTTTTAGGTAATTCTATGGTCTTTTATGTTTGTCCTTGGATTATTGGTAGAGCTGCATTTTGTTTTGTTTTTGTTTTGTTGCTCAGTAGTCATAGTATACGCATTCTTGGTGATTGTTTTTATGTGAAACACTTTTAACTCCGCCTGTCAAGTCACAGCCGGTCCCAAGCCCGAAAAAAGGAGGAGGGCAAGTATCAATTCTGAGGAGGTAGTCATTATTTTCTTTATTCTTCCTCTCTGATTTGTGAGTTTCTATCTAATTTAAGTAGCTAAGGTCTTCTATGTTTGCCCTTAGATCATTTGTGGAGTATTATTTTATTTTCATCTCAGTCAATAATAACAAAAGTGGGGATAGGTGTAGCTTATTAATATGTTATAAGTTATACTTAAAACTTGTAATTTATGTAACTTAAGTTTGTAATTTTAAAAAATTAAATAAAAATAAAAGTATAAAACAATGACACAAATTAAAAAAATATCAATCCAATTGTTGTGCACTTAGCAGCTTTGACCTCCTATTGGTGCTGCTGTGCTGCGTGGCAGGCCCTCCCAATATAAAATAAAAATTAATTAATAAAAAATAATTAACCGGAAGTCCGGACCAGACCTGAACGGAATCGGAATTAACCGGGATAAACCGGTACCGATATACCGGTATCAAATCGTGATACCGTTCCGTTCTGAGTACCGGTTCACGGTGTCCCATTCCGTCCCAAAGATCATCGTACCGGAACTACCCGGTCCGTTGCCTAGCCTTAGGTCGGCCTATGATGCCTACAGAGTATTTATGATTTTGTACTCATACTAGTCTTGGTGTATCTTTTTGAGGCAGATTTCGGTGCTAGTGGACTGGTTTTGTACTGCATCTTTCTGGTGAAAGATGCAGAACTCAAGATTATGTATGTGGACTGGCTCCGCGGATTAGAAAATTGGAGGAAAGAGATTAAGATATGGATGCACTTGTGTTGGAGGGAAATTCTGATCATTAAATTTGCCTTAGATTTATATTAAGGAACTTTGAGGGTATGGTATGAAGTCTCTGCAGGGAAGTTTAAAGCTACTTCACTAGAGTCTTGGTTATTTTTCTTTTTGCAATTGTGTTAAGGCCATAGGAAAAACACAGTGCTTGGCAATAAAAATGAACCTGTTGGTACTTATTTTTTAATCTCCCTTTCAAGTCATGATTGTGTATTTTATACATGACTAATTAGGAGGATGAATTTAGGATAAAAACTCGAAAAAAGGGCGTCATCTATGTGCTGGTTCGGAGAAGGGTCTATTATACGTAGCTTAACCTGCTATATTTGCACTAGGCTTGGGCTTTTGGAACTAGGAGATGGTCACATAGTCATGGGATATGCCAAATGCAGATTGACAGACAGACAAGCTGAACTTTATTATAAACCTCATCAAACCTATATGATTTTCCCAATAGGAAACTTCACACCTGGACGTTCAAATAGTACTGTCACAGCACCCTCCTCCATAGATTTCCCGTCTCCAAAATTAGAGTCTATTGCATAGATGGGGACATAATCAAGATAAGGACCAGGATCAAAGAGAATATAAGACGAAGTCACCTTGCTTTAAGAACTAGACCAAACATAGCAAACAAGAGCCTAACAACTCAAGTATATAGTCACTGCTTGGAGGAACTTACAACAATTTACCTGGAGTACTTCCTCCATTTTCTCCTCACTACCACACCCTCTCGAGTTAGACGACAAGAAACTCAGAAGATTGCACTCCTGCCCAATATCGACACAATTGCATTTGTGTAAGCTAAAGTCAAGCTAAGGCAACACTCTAGTTTGTTTACCCCCACACATTTCTTCAAGAGAATTATGTAAACAAGGAATAGTCTGATCCCATAAGAGTAAGACACCATTAAATGGATATTCGATTGCAATAATTTGCGTACTCACATTCAACATTATAGTGGCTAGAAAAAGCAACCGAAAAAACCCAATGTATCCCATTTAGGACATTTATCAAACAAAGCTACATTATCTCGTGGATTGTCCTCCTCACTATTAGATTCTTTCGTATAATCTAACATCACAGGTACCTTGGTATTCAAGCTGACATCTTCACAGAAGCTATCGTTGCACTGTAGTTGCAAAGTTTTTCTCCCTTGTGGACAATAGTGTTAAGATCATGAATTTCAGAGCTCACTGTTGTGTGTGACATTTCATCGAAAGCCTTATTTTCAGCATTGAAAAAAAGATCCTGATACCAAATTTACTCCCTCTATTGACTTTGCAGTTCTAGTATGAGGTGAGTCCCTGCTTTCAAGAGTTTTAGTCTCAATATTACTTCCAGACTCCAGTAATCAATGCCAAGGAATCCACATTTTTATACGTCTCTGACAATTTATCAAGCACATGCCCCGCCTTTGAATTGCCAGTTTCATAGGCAGAATCAAGGGCAGATGATGCCAAAAAATGATTGGGAGACACCATTGCTGATTGTGACACTATAGAGACAGAATTAATGCAGTAAAAAATGAACCTGTGATGAATTAGCTAGACGCCCCACTACATTGTTGTTGGTTTGTTGTTGAAACTGCTGAGCAAATTTACCCTTGAAATGCTTCCAGTCCAAAATTAGCATGTTCTTTTTTTTTTTATGACAAGGGAAACCCGCAGCCGCTACCCTTTGGGTGAGCACAGGGTAAAACCCCCCGCTCCTATGCAATAGCTCGCAAACCACATAGGAGAGGTCAAAATTAGCTTGTTCTGAAATAAGCTTTCATCATCAAGGTAGAATGAAAGAAGTGGAAGCCAACCATTTTCGTTGAAGCCAAGGTTTGTGAAGTACAACTCGGCCCGAAAAATCTAGCTCTTTAGGATGTTGTTGTTGCTGAATCTAGGTAGAAACATCGCTGTTGTTGGAGTCCGATGGATGAATGCACCCATGTAGTAAATCAGAATTCTCAACACAAATAACATAATACAATCCCTATTGTCTTTGGTTTCCCCGAGTGGTGATTTTGAGCTTTGACTTTTTTGTTCTTCTTGGGATCTGTGATGTATTTTTCCTCTACATTGTGGGATGTTGGTTAACCATTTACTCGAACATGATTTCATGTGTTGGAACTTGGAAGTTACAAGTGTTATTTTTGGTGAGAGGTTTGGTCATGTGATTATTTCTGCTCTACTTGATAATTATAGATCTGTTTGGGGGAAGGTGTGGAATTTAGCATTGCTCGATCGTGTTTGGAGTTAATTTTGGATTCTGCAGGTACATTTGTTCATACATTCTCTTGTTATTATTTGGGAAAAGTGATGTGTTCTGGAAATTGGAGCAATGCACAGGGCATCGGTTTGGACGTGTTGCTTCATCATCTTCTTTTTTAATTAATACCCGCCAATGTTTCTGTTGGTTTCTCCTATGGAGGTTCTTACCCAAGTGTATTTGACTTTTGCTGATGTTCTGCATTTATGATAATTAAGTGGCTAGGGAGTCTTGTCATGTTATCTTGTTTAGATGTCCTGGAAATGCTCTACTATGTTTGAGAATTTTCCCATCTTTCTATGCATAGTTCATCTCTTTAGCCTTTAATGGGGATTCAAGTTGATTTTTTAGTGCATTATGGGATGTAGATTAGAAATTTGCAAACATTTTTTTTATCCTTCAATATAGAGAACTATAGTTATGTGTGGGGGATGAAAATGAAATATGCATTCAGGTTCTGGCTGCTTTTTGTGTTTTCTTGTCAACCCAGCAATATTGGGCATGATACCCTGAAAATGCGGCATATGCCTTAGGCCCCAAAATCTAAGGGCCTAATTTTTTAGTAATAATAAGATTATTATAAGCCTTTTTTAACAAAAAAATATATATACTATATTTTTTAATTTAGTTATCATTTTTTTTAGTTTGTTTCGAACCATTAAAGAATGTTTCTTTTTTATGGATTAATTTTTAAATTTAACTTCCACATGATATGTTTAAGATCACAAGATTAAAAAATATTTTGATATATATATATATCTTTAGTTTAAGACCATAAAAAATAAAACTTTTTTATTAAAAAGAAAGAATAACTTGAATCTCAAATATAAAAAAAATAATTAAAATTTAGGCCTCCAATTTATCCTATTTTTGGTTTCACCAGGTTATTTTTGTATGTGCAACTATGTGTGCAAAGATAAATATTTGGTTGCTACAAGTTACATTATGATATTCTTAGCGATAACGGAACAAGACTGATTAGCGTATCTTTTGGTGTTTGTGTTTGCGAAAATTTAGTACGTCTACTCATATTGGTGTCCTTTGGCCTGTTTTTTCCCCTGCAAAATTGAAGCTTCCTTGAAACTGCTTGTAACATGAAGGTTCTCAATTGGCACTACTCTTTGTTTCTGTAGTGTCTCGTGCTATTATATTCATCCATATGCTTATGTTCTTACCACTACCAGAGGCGACCTTCTTTAGGGCGAGAGTGTAAGCCTAATCTAATAATGCTATTAGGTGCTCTGGTATGTGTTATTTGTTCAGTCTGCTTCTACATTTTTCTGTTGGTTTGTTATAACATCAAAGAAAGGGGGATGTGCACCAATATCTATTATAGAGGGATTGAGCCATTACAAATGATATGCTATCTAGCTTTATTTGTTTTTTAAGGAGGCGATTTATGTAATGATGTTATGAATCTTGACATATCAAACTAATTGAATCTCACAATTTATGATTTGTTATGTTACTTGCTCTTTTAAAATTAAAGCATGATTCATTTTGGTAGCCAAAGGCTACCACCAGCAATATAGACTATGATGAGACATTCAGTCCCAGCTATCAAGATGACATCAAAAGCGATTAGGTGTGACTTGCTTGATAAGGGAAAGAAAAGACGTCTCTCAAAGTCCCATTAATGCAAAACAAGTTGATTCCTGCCTTTTCAATCCCCAAAACTTATTCGTTATTTCACCTTTAAATTAGAATAAAAGTAATAATACAATTCGAGGATAACTAATCTTGAGATAAACTCATCCTGTAATTAATTTCGAAAATGAACTAAACAGGCTCTTAAATCTCAAAGAATTCACGCCATTTTTTCTTAGCGTACATAATGGATTTTGAAGATAAAGAAAATTTGATTTTTGCCTACTTCTCGATATATTGTGTTTGGGTAGACATAATTTATTATTTTTTCAAAATTACTAAATTTAAAACTTATATTTCAGCGATAACATACCCCCATATGATTTCATGAAGTGGAGTGTGAAAAGATAAAATATACGTAGATCTTATTTTCCTTTTAAAAATAGAATAAAAAAATTCAATCACACAAACTTTCAATCTAAGAAACTGAAATAATTGAACTCATTAATATTAAATTGTGAATCTGGATCCACATGTTGATAAAATAAGTTAATAGTAACCCTTTTAAGCTGTGCGCCGTGCCATCATGATTATTCTCTCCTAGCCATCATTGTTCGCACCTCCTCCTATGCTTTTCCTTTTCCTACGTTTTTATTTTATTATTATATTATCCAATATAACATTGTTTTGGTTGTTAATCAGATTAAACAAATCACAAAAATAAATAAATATCACCCTTTCTTTTTGTAATAACTTTTTTATTCACAAAATTTAACGTAGTGTGTAATTAATAATATTCCCACAAACTTCTTAACACACCCTTTTTAACCCCTTTATAAGCCTGGGGCAGAGCTAGATAGAGCTCAAAGATTCTTTTCAATTCCTTCGATAAAATTACATTATTTATATTAAAAATAATATCATTAAATTGATTCGCCTTCAACTTTTTTATTTATTTATTTAACCATAATTTAAATGCTAACGAATGACAAAAGTTGGAATTCCGCAGAAACTCACGTGGATAGCAACATTCTATTTGAATCATCCGACCATTCCCGTAATATTTTATAGTCGTTAGAAGTTTTCAAATCTCCATAATACCCCTAAACTCTCATTAAACCTTCCGCTAAACACCAGTATAATGTCCAAAAAAGCAACAGGGCTAAAATCGTCATTTTCTTTTCTGTATTTATAATCACGCTTCCACGCTCCCTCCCTTTTTCCCCTTTTTTGCGTCTTTCTCTCTCACACACACCGACTCTGTTTATTGTTTATTCACAGAGAGAAGAAGAATGTTCTCATGTCTCTGCTCTAAATTATGGTTTTGGACCACTATATTGTTATAGCTGCGCAGAGTTTTTCTTATTATTTTCTCTTTCTGCATTTTATTTTTCGGTGTAATTTGGAGGAATAGATGATAGTGGAGGCGGCGTTGGAGTTTTTCTTGCCGTCGTGGTGGGAGGTGCAAGTCGCCGTCGCCGCCGCGTCCTTCGTCATCCTCTCTTGCTGGTTCTTCAACCTCGGCGGAGGTGATATAGTTCATTATCGCCCTCGGGTTGGCCGTTCTCGTGCTGTCAGAAGTGAGAAAGTGGAGGATGATCCAGCATGTAGGGCTAGTGTAAGTACAGTCTACTATATATATACACCCACACATACGTACATAATATTTTATTTTCACTATTTCAAAATTATGTATCTCCCTGTATTACTATCCTGTTTTAAATAAAAATTGAGTTTAGTTTAAGTGAGGACTGAAATTATATTCCAATTAGGAAGGGGACTTAAGAGTTTGGAATATGAAGTAGTAGATCACTGGTCAAGCGTTCTCGATAAAGGTGTGATGATATTTACTAAAATTTTAAATTAAAAAATAAATCACTTGTAGAGTTGATCTAAATCGTCAGGTGTGATTATCGATTAAATGATAAGCTGAAATTTGATTTTGCATGGCCTAATTTTCATTAATCATGATTTAGAATGACCAATATCAGAAGTTAACGGAACTATGTAATTAAGCTTTGGAGAATATAATATTTCTCGCAGTTTTTTATTTATACTTAGCTTAATCTTGAAAAGCATCCATAGTTTGTTATGTAGTTCAGGGAAAGGAACCAAGGAGCAAATGCATGATTATATGCATTTTGAATATATGAAATCTTACTGTTATTATCAAATCTTACTGAGAATATTCTTTCCAAGTCAAACAAATTATACAGCTTGAGCATAGTCATTAGTTCTCTATGGAGAGTTTTCATAAGAAACTTATCAATTGGCATGCAACTAATTATTAGTTATAATACTGTACCATTCGTGAAGGCTAACTGTACCTGATTATTATCTGTTCGGCAACACAGAGTATATGTTAAGCTTCTCAAGAATCCTCAATGGTCCGTAACTAGTAGGAATTTTCCACGTTCTTAGAAAGAAAATTCTCCCTTCATTGAGAATTTATAAACTTATGTTTCGTTTTCATCATGTAATTTTCCACTTCTTTGACATGCAGTTGTGCACTTATTTTGTAGATGAGCCAGTTAAAAGGAGATCCTCAAACTACTTCTGCCTATGTAATCAAGGTATATTTGTATTCCATGTTGATGCATTTATAGCTCATATATCTAGATTTGGTGTTGTACAACATTACTGTAACTTGAAGTGTTAATTGCACTAATTATTCATGTGATGGCCTATATCTGCAACTTGTAGTTGACTGCTACTCTTTCTTATATTTCAGGTTGAATTGTTAGCTGCTAAAAATCTTACTGCTGCTAATTTGA